TAAATAAATAAAAGAGGAAAAATCAGAAGTTTTACTTTGCAAAAAGAAAGTGAAACAACACTTAGAAAAAAAATATTGTGTAAAAAGTTTATATATTTTTTATATAAAAAAATATATATAAAGCAAAATATAAATTGTGTCATATTATATTAATATTACATTAATAGTATCTTAATAATTAATTATAATGAAAATAATGTGAAATTCCTAAACAGGCTTCATTTTCTTTATTATATGTTAGAAATATTATGTAATAAAATAATTAAACAAATAAACAAGAAAAATAAGAAATTTTAATTTGCAAAAAAAAAAAGCGAAGCAACACTTAGGAAAAAATATTGAGTAAAAAGTGTATATATTTTATTTATTTATATACTTATGAATATATATTATATAAACTACATTAATATTATATTAATATTTAATAATTCGTTATCATGAATATAATGTAATAGGCTTCACTTTCTTTAAATATTATAAATATTGTTTTTATTATTTATGCTTGATTTTAGAGTGAAGTATGATTTAAAATCTTAATTAATATATAACACAATGTCCTTGCATGAGGTCCTTACCGCAGGGTCTCTTTAGGTGAAGTGGCTCTGTTGTCATGTACGTAACACACCAGGTTTGCTGCTACGTCCAGCTGACTGAACGACTGGGTTTGCACTCCGGTGTGTTTGATGTACTCCACATGTCCATGTGCTGGAGGTACGGTGATAATGTACAGCAGCTCCTCCGGCTTGTCAGCGCCGTCTACAGCCAGCAAGACGTCTGTGGTGAGGATCACACGCTCACCGCGACTCGTCCTCACAGGCTTCAGGAACAATGCTATGTCTCCTGGAGAGAAGCACAAAACAGACTCGAAATGATGAATAATTTGCGGATAAGTCTTGGAATATAGTATGCATATCATCAGGAAAACACGTTCATATCAAATACTTATTGTTACTTTTAATGTAGGATTTACTCATAAATTAATAGTAAATTTCACAAATGATTACAAAGAAATGCCAAGTAACATTGAATTAAAAGTGAAACTGAATTTGAATGACCGAAATTTCTTTTAAAACATGTTCAGTCTTTATTTACATAAATTTTTACAGTGCTGGGAAAAAAAATCCAAATAAACAAAGAAAACTACAATAAAATAAATACACTTACTCAAAGTGAAAACATGAGAATAAAGCAGCAGCCCACCTTTCTCCAGCTCTTTGACTGTGATGTGGAAGTGCTGCGCAGGAGAGCGGTTCTTGCCGTCCAACAGGTGGAAGATAAAGACGTCAGCAGCGGCTGCTCCAGGATGACCGGTGTGAAGGTAACGTAACAGGTTCATCTCCAAAACCTGCTGAGAGCAGTTCATCCCTGCTGATACAGACACCCAGTCTGTGCCTACCTGAGGAACAGCAGACAACCAGTGTGTCAGTGGCTTAAAAAGGAACAGTTCACCCAGAAATTAAAACATGCTGAAAATATACTCAGACCATCCAATATGTAGATGAGTTTGTTTCTTCATATGAACAGATTTGGAGAAATTTATCATTTAAATCTCTTGCTCACCAATGGATGCTCTGCAGTGAATGGGTGCCGTCAGAATGAGAGTCCAAAACGCTGATAACA